GTGTTAAATCTCACTAATTGTGCATAATTAGAATTCAGTGATTATTCCAAACAAATCATACTTTACAATTTAAATGATGACTCTGTAATTCATTACTATTCTGTGTGACTCAGCAAAAGGTAGCATTTTTAGGCTTCCATCTTTAAAAATATTCGATGTCAATATTTTTCCATGAGCTTGGTTGAAAACATAAACTTCTTACTTGCAATGCAGTCTAGGCTACAGAATATTTGTGCACTGTTTCTTAGTCACTGGCTATGACCGCTGCTTGCAGGACCTGTCATCGTGCAGGATTTTGCCTCTGCCCCAAGGACTTCATGACATTTTTGAACAAATTGAGCTTTCCTTATTCAGTAGCTTACACGCTTGTATGTATTTTTTTCTTTCCCTGCTGTCACTTCTCAGCCTTCTCACAGTGCTTTAACTTGCCAAATAATGGGGTTTTGTGATGTTTTCTCTGCCTGACTTGTTTGCGATCACCCTGCTTCAACTTATCAGTCAGTATGTGGTTTGACTTCCTGTCATTCACCCTCTTTTACAGACTAGCCCCATAAAGCTAAATTGTAATGCCTCTGACCATGACCACTGGGCTCACAGTGTATCACAACCGAGGAATTGTCTGAGAATTTTATTTTAAGCGGAAAGTATGAGCTGGAAGCCACAGGACAATATGTTATCTGTTAGTGTGCCAAAGATGTGCTCACTTTCCCCATTAGCCTCTTTAGCTCATCTCTGCCTGTATCATTTGATTGGCATTTTGCTAAACTAATACACTTTCATGATCAATTTTCGCTGAGAATGTTCAACTTCCTATCTTGGCTGAAATTGGATCTTCTTGACATGACCCAGGATTGCTTCAAGGCAGATCGTCAGCCTAAAGCATTCGTCACATTGTGCATTTTCTAATGGACATTGCTGCACAATGATGCTTGCAGGAACATCTTAAGGAATTTGGCAATAGCACAGGCTGCTGAAGAAAAAGAAGTTTATAAAGGACTACAATAATTTGAATTCAGTTAAGGAAATAGCAGGTTGTCCAATCATAAATGGTGACTATGTTTGAAATTGATTATGTGGTAATCTGAGAAAAAACAGATGTTTGTTTTAGAAAGTAAACTAGTGCTGATTGCCAAGGTCTGATTCCACAGGCAAAGTTGAGTATCTCATTTATTCTCAAATAATAAATAAAATGTGTTTATATTGAAACGTTAAACATCATAATATTAATTGTCCAGACCTATCTGTTCTGAGATTTGTGTAAAATCTTGTCAAACCACTTCTAATTTTGTATTTCTTTCATCTTTTTAAAGATTAATTTTAGGAAAACATTTTTCTACTTTATATGACTGGCAAAATAATAAGTACTTATCTCGAAAAAGGGGCAAAAGAGAACATAAAATATAGAAAATAAATCACTCAAAATGTTATACAACAATTATTATTTATATTTTGGTATTTTATTAAATATTTTCTACATCTATATCTGTAAGTAATGTAGAGAAGTAGCTGCTGCTGTCAGTATTTGCAGAAAGACCATATTCTCATTTTCCTGTGAGCCATTCAAAGTATCTTACAGAAGCTATATGTGTCTTTTTTGTTGTTGTTGAGAAAGCCTTTTACTGTCTATCAATAACTCAGAAAAGACCTATTAGCATTTCAAGGCTAGATTCCTGTTACTTTGTTAGAAGGTACACTTTTGAAATCACAAAAGCAGTAAACTAAACCCAGTGATACTTGATTAGTTCCTTCACTATGTTGTTTTTCTCCCTTCCTTGGCATGTGTATTTTAATCTTTGTTTGAAGAATGCTTATGCCACGAAATATCCATATTATCATTTAGAAAACTCATCTTGCTATTGTCTTGAGACCCTATAACGAAACCTTCATTGCACATTAGTCAAAGTAATTCATTCTGGTTTCCTATTTTGAAGCAAGTTGACCTCAATATGGCAAATGGAAGTTTTAAGTTGTAATAAAAGACAAAAATGTCAACATTAGACATTCCTATGAGACAAAATAAATCATTTAATCTCTAAAAATGACATAAAAGCATACAAATAATCAGGCTTCATATCATTTTCTGTGTGTAAAGGTGGAATGTTTGTATTCCTACCATGATGAGATCATATATTGACAGCCGAAACTACCGTTGCTGCCAGGATTAGGTCAATCGCATGGTTACTCCTTTAGTGTGTTGAGGCTAATACAACTTAATGATTTGTATGACATGGCTTTACTGTTCTGACTTCTGCTTTTTTGATATAACACATTTCCTTTTCACGCTGTTTTTCTACAGCCACAGTTACAGCTGCATCACTCTAAGAGATCTCTACATTAGTTTCATTCCTAAAAGGTGTTCTGGAAATGCCAGCAACTCAGTATTAACTAAGTTTACCAAAACCAATAATACAATGAACAAATAAATTTAGAAATAAACTCATTCTGCAAAGCTGCACAGATGTTTTCAACTGGAGACTTTAATATGCTAATGTGCTTTCTGAATTTCTATGATTTCCCAAATGTATTTGTCTATAAATGCTTTACTGGAGGCATCTTCTGGACTATTTGTTCCTTGGAATGTCTTTGTAAAATCCTGTCTTAGTTAATTCACTGTAGATCCTCTGGGTCTTCTTCTTAATCTAGACAGTGATTATAATTTTCATTAAAAAGCATAAGATCAGCTTAAGATCAGCTCCTTATGGGTACCAAGAGTTGGGTCCAGAATTCTGGGGGTTTTTTTGTTTGTTTTTCTGTTTAAATCAGAGAATTTCCAGTAATGGTCAGTTTTTGCTTTTACCTACATGGAGTTAAATCCAGAATTCTGGTCCTTGTTTCTCTATTTAGCATAGAGAGTTTCTAGGAATGGTTGGTTTCTGCTTTGGCTTATAGGATGTCTACGATCTGGTACTAGGTAAGGTGGTTGTAATCTTATTCAGTGTTTGAGTTTGCATCTATTTCCAAACATAGAAGCAAGTAACCTCTCAAAGGGACTATTTGCCCATGTCTAGCGTAATCTCTTATTAATTTTCACTTGCTTTTGTTAGGCAATGGAAAGTTTTTATTGAGTTCATTGTATAAGCATGTTATAAACTACGATGTAGTAACAACCCTACTCTTACTGACTTAACACTACAGAAGTCTGTTTTTTCTTATGAATATTTGTTGATGATCCCTATAACATTCTTGGGCTTAATATCAAATCAGTGATTCCAAAGTGCTCTTGAACATGAGGCCTCCATATTAATAGCTAACAGGAAGAGAGGATCTAAATAATGGTATAGCAGATGCACTCTGCTGCACTCACAATGTCCTGCATGAAAACAAAGAATGTATGAGTTTAGAATCTATGCACTAGCTAATGTGGTCCTCTGCTCGGCTCTTTTGTGATTAGCTGCTCATTCATATTTTGATGAATCCCTTCTGCTATCAGATCCTAAAAATAATGAATTTTTGCTAGTAATACTTATCAGTGTCTATCCTAATTTATTTTCTCACATTTGCAGGCTGTATTTTTCACGTGGCCATGTTCAGTTTCTATTTTGTGAAATCTACTGAATCCATCTTGCCATAGTCCTCTGCATATGAAAAATACAAAAAGGGCTTCTTTGGGAAAAAAGGGCCAATTTTACTTTTAGTTTCCAGCAGGGAAAACAGTTATGATTCGAAGCACATATAAATAAATCTGCAAGGCACCATTAAACAGTGTGAGTGAGTATATTCTATAGCTTATACTGCTTTAGTCCACAGACAGGCTAAGCTTACCATAAAATTAAGTGGAGAAGCAAGTTGGTCTTTGGTTCTTTTCCATACTCACTCTGGACTATCTTCCTCTGCCCACTCCCTTTGATAAAATACCCTCATGAGGTGAGTGAGTTAGAAGCCAGATTTAAAGCAATATTTAAAGCATTATTGCCAGAACAGTTACCGATGCTCCAATAGAGAAAGGGAAATCGTGAGTAAGTATGAGTAAGTATAAATCTAAGACTAGATAATTTCTCTTTCTATCAAGGCTGATAGAGGTCAGCTGACATCTGTTTTAATCCCTATTTGTTGTTGTGCAGTTTGGAATTAGTTATACACACTCTAAGTTTCCCTGTCATAAGAAAGGACTTTGGATCTTATTATCTTAAAATTCTCCTCAATTCACAAAGTAGGAACATTTCTTAACATCTTTATTTTCAGTAAATCCAGTAGAAACTTCATTTTCTATTAGGTCTTTCTAATTTAATTGTCACTTAGTAGCACTTTCTGCCTAACAATAGTCTCGATAAAATATAATGTAATGGAATGATGCAGAGCAATAATAAAGGCTTTAAATTTAGAATTCTAGTTTAAATCCCAGGTTAACAGCTTGCTAGTGTGTATCACTTGGCAAGTTATTTAACTCTTAAGTCTCAATTAATAACTTCTTAAATGATAGTTTAGTGAGGCAAAAGCTTGTACAATCCTAGGTGTGTAATGTACACATAAAACTATTATAATGAATGATATTATCTTCTGTGTTTTGAAAATGATATTTGGACACATATCGTAATAACAATTGTCAAAACGTGGGGGCAGTTTGTAGAGTAGATATTTGGACACTCTGAGGAGCCTATGATATTATGTCTTTCAGATGGTATAATTTGTGGTTGAACATACTCTTCCCTTATGGGTGTGGTCCACAGAAAAAGCAGACAAGGTCATTGTGGAAATTGTCATATCAAATCCCAGATTACTGCACCTATGGGAAAAGCCAGCTGTTCTATGGTTTTTATGCTAACAATAGCAAACTCACTTTAATCAGTGACAAGGTTTGGCTGTGTCCGCACCCAGATATCACCTTGAATTGTAGCTCCCATAATTCCCATGTGTGGTGGGAGGGACCTGGTGGGAGATAATTGAATCATGGGGGCAGTGTCTCCTATACTCTTCTCATGGTAGTGAATAAGTCTCATGAGATCTGATGGTTTTACAAGGCGAAACCACTTTCACTTGGTTCTCATTCTCTCTCTTGCCTGCTGCCATGTGAGACTTGCCTTCTGCCCTCTGCCATTATTGTGAGGCTTCCCCAGTCATGTGGAATTGAGTCCATTAAACCTCTTTTTCTTTGTAATTTATCCCATCTCAGGTATGTTTTTATCAGCAGTGTGAAAACAGAATAATATAATCAGACATTTATTTTTTGAGAAAATATATATACCCAAGGCAAGTATAATATAAATACTAAGTTTTAAAATTTAGCTTCTTTTCTTGCTGAAGAGATCAAAACTCAGAAAAAAATTCCAATTATTATCTCGGATGCTCATTATCTAGTAGAAATAATTCTATTCAACTTTCAATTATTGTTTTTTCCCCTTAATATTGGACAACAAAAAAGAATTATTTAGAGTGTGAAGCTTGTGATAACAACTGTCAACCTCCCAGAGCCAACAACAATATGTTACAACCAAACTAAACATCTACAAAACCAAACTAATCACAGATATTTTTACTTTAATTCACAATTGAATCTTTAGAGATTCTAATAACTATTTGGTTGAAAAGAAAAATAAAAGTATATGTATGAAATACTGAGTCAAATTTCAGCAGTTTTCTTAATTGTAAGCGTTTTTCAATATTTTAATATGCTGTTTTGAACTTTTAAGAGAACAGATATATTTATAAGTACATATTTATAAGAGGACCTATATAGTATATATAATATAAAATAAATATCTATTCTAAAAGGATATGATATACATTGATAATAAATACATATTAAGTATGTAAACAAATTCAGTATATATTTTATTAAATATATACCACAATTATGGTTTTTGGAGAATATAGTCTTGTATAAAAATATATGCTTTATTACTACCAGAAAATTAACAATTTTTAAAATGTTGTTCTTTGCTGTCCATGATCCCAAATACACCCTAAAAAACTCTGAATGTTGTCAATTTTAATTATCAGTGCTACATTTAAATAACTATAGTAAAAAATTACATTTTTTTTCTGAAATCTCCTAAGAACATGTGCTTTATATGTTTTGTTGTAAAAATTTCCAAAACACAGCTTACACTGAGCCTCCTGCTTATCTTTTCTTCTGTCTTAGTGACAGATAGAAAAAATATAGAAAGATAGATGAAAGTAAAGCAGACTGACCCTTTGCTTTTCTCAGCCGTTTTCCTTGCTTAGATAGAAATTGTTCTAATTTCCAAGTACAGTTTTAAAGCTATAGAAAAATGAAAAAAGAAAAAACGCATACTATTATGGAAGTCTCTACTTTTTTCAGCTTTCAATCTTCAGTTTTGACATTATCACATTTGAATCTTTTAATGTAACGGTTTGTGATATGTATTAAATATAATATTTTGTGTTGAAATAGGATTAAAATTTTAATATATCCAGAGCTATATTTGCATCTGAATTCCATGTTGTTCAAATCATAATGTTCTACTACGAATGTGTGAATTTCAATATTTACCATATTTAAATGTAGCCTATGTAAATTCAGATATTCTTTCATTCATATAGTTCATCTTTGTATTCAACATCTGTATAGGTTTGTGCAAAAGTAAAATGCTAATTATTTGCATACTACACTTATATTAACATAGTAGCTATAGGAAAGATGAAAAGTATCTAAGATATAATATACATGGGCCAAAGCAAAGGAAATTTAACATTGTTTTACATTTGTTATTTATTCCTTATTTTGACAACACTTTGATATTAGGCAGGCTTGCAGTTACTCTTGAGCAATGACAAGTGCAGGTGGCCCAGCTGACTGTCTAATATCCTGGGCCACCAGCCACAATTACTGGAAACTTGGGTGAGAAAGCAGTTCAAATGCTCAGTGCTTTTGATAGTTTCTTAATTCTAGGTTTTTCCTTGGACATACGCAAACTTCCTACACTACAGCTTTGTGCTGCTATAACTTCACCTAATGGGGCTTGTAGAGCACTTTTTCCCTGTAGTTTTAAAAATTCACCTTATGGCATTATTGCATTATTGACTAAGGGTAGTTGTTAATAATGAAGTCTTTTATTTCTTTTTCCAATACCTTTAAAAGCAATTATACAAATGTAAATTTATGTATCACTAGTTAATCACACTACCTTTTATAGTAGAATTAACTTAGGTAGATAAATAAAACTCTCAGCATATACCTACCAGTTTCACACAAAAATGCATAGAATGGATAAATTTAATTTAAAAAAAATTAAAGTACTTTTGTAAATTAAAAATTTAAAGAACAGCTAAGTTTACTACACTGCCCACATCACACTTACTTAATTCTTTTTTTTTTTTTAATTGTGAAATAGGTGTATATTTATTGATATGGAAAAATGTTAACAGTAAAGAAGGTTTTTTTAAAAGCAAGATCTGCAACCTCCTTTTTAAAATTACAAATTAGTCAAAGCAGATTAAAAAACAATATTCATAATGTTAAGACAATTTAGTAAATGTATATTTATAAATAATTAGAAAAAGTCTAGAAGGATGTAAATCAAAAGGCTTATAGTGAATATCTTCTCAATGAACATATATATTTTATGGAAATTTAAAATAATTCCAGTTTTTATTTTAGATTTGGGGGCATATGTGCAAGTTTATGAGATAGGTATATTGCGTGATGCTGAGGTTTGGAGTACAACTGATCCCATCACCCAGGCAGTGAGCATAGTACTTAACAGTTTTTAAACTCTCCCCTCTCTACTAGTTTCCAGTATCTACCATTGCTATCTTTATGACCATGAGATTTATAACATTTAAAAATATTGAGAATATATGTATGTAGTATTATTCAAATATTTCCCTTTTTTTCTAACATTTTTTTCAGATTCAAAAAGTATACATGCCCAATTTGGAAGCTCATAAAAGTATATGTCAGAAAATATCATTAACTATTCTCTTGATATTGAAAGATAACTAATATTATTGTTTTAATAAATTGTTTCCAGATGTTACTATAATTACACATTTTAATATCATTGAGATCTTATCCTCATATAACAATATATCCTCCTTTATCTCTTGGTAACAGAACCTGTACCTAAGTATTTGTCTGAATTTCTAATTGTTTCCTTAGAAAATATTCTCCAAAGTGAAATTAAAAGACGCTTACTTAATTCTAAAATAATTTGAATAACATTACTTGAAACTAAAAATGTAGTAACAGTTATCAACAAAGAAATGCTTAATTATATCTACAGGTTTTCTAAGTTTTCGTGTTATACACATCTACTAATATTTTCATCAATAAAGGTTTACATATGTCAGAAACATCATATTTTTAATGTTTCTTCCATTTATATCTGCATTTGGCTATTACAAAAATGCTTCAATATCAAGAAGCTAACTTTCAACAAAATGAATAAAAACTGCATTACATTCTTTGAATTCTGGGTCCCTTTGGAAGAGGAAAAGAGTAATACAGAATTTTCAAATCGAAATCCAAATGCAGGAAAGTCATCTAATAATATTTTTTGCCTGCTGTGTTGTAGTTTGCTTATTGTTAATATTGGCTCCAAGACGTTTGTTTTCACTTACTTCCCACAAGTTTTCTGTTTCCTATTGAGCCTTAAATGACTGACATATTAAATTATGCATGATCAACTGAAAAGAATCACTTAAAATGTTGGCACTCAGTCACCATCTGTGCTTTGTACGTTGACATATCTCACATCGTTTGCATGTTTGCTTTGTAAATGGTGTGACGGTTAGGCTTTTCATAATGTTTATTGTTCCATGCAACTAATTCTGGTGATGGTCATATTCTGAGAATATAAAAGTCCATTCAGAAAACTGTGAAGAATTTTGAAAATAAAAACCTTCATTGTGTGGTGACAATATTTCTCATGACAATCAATGCAGGTACATATTCATCAAGGATTTCATTCAGTAATATGCAATATTAATATCTAAATTGTATTGCAACACAATTTCCTTCAGAAAAGTAATCAATGGGGCCTTTCCCACATAATGTGCATAACTTCAAAGCTTGTTCTAAAAATAAAATGAACATCCAAAGAAATATTTCTTAACTATTATCATCTGATTAATCTTAAAAAGTTAAGAGATCATTATGCATACAAACTCACACACAATTATTCACAAGTAGAAGATACACTGAGTAACAAAGTCAAATATAGTAAGTATAGTGCATTAGAAAATCATTTCAAGGTTGAAGGAAAGAGTATTAGGATATATGCATCAGAATACTAAGTAAAGCATTTTTATCATACTCTTGTTCCATAAGATACCATGGACCTAAATCTTGGACACATGATTATTACTCTCACCTATGCCCCAAGTATTTTTCCAAAATTTGTATTAAGTTTAATTTCTACCTCATTGTCTGAATGACCATACTTTCTATAAAACAAAGTGAAATCCTGTGAATCACTTTTTGTTTGCTTGTATTACTTGACTTACTAGGGTGTTAGGAGAATCATTTGCAAATATAATTGTATGTGACAACCACTTTGTGTAAAATAAATTTTAAAATGATGACATATATAAACCATTATACTCCCCACAAAGGAGGACTTTCCAGAAATCCGAATACAACTTTGAAAAATCCTTAGAAATTATTTTCTTTTTCTAATAAACTCAAAATTTTTCCTTAAAATTTGTTTCACTGATGCAGGCAAAATATGTACCTAAAATGCTTATTAGAAAAAACCTAGATCAACAAGGTTCCTATTATTAAAATGTTCACAGAGTAAAGGAGAGAAAACACAAGTCATGAGGAAGAAAAATGAGCTCATTTTCTTGGCAACCAAATGAATATTTGGAAGCAAGGATTAAATGAAGTAAAATTTCAGTTACACTCCCCCGTCTTTTCCTGAAAGTAAACACACACTGAACCATTCTTAGGCTATTAGAGAATCAAAGATTATGAAAGTCTCACTTTGTAAAATGTTTTGAATATGGACATTTCCAACTGATAGATCTTTCAAAAAAAGAGTTCTGGCTTTTCTAACTAACTACAGAATCATTAGGATTGTGCGACTGAAAATAAAGAAGAATAGGTACATTCTTTTCTTTTATATTCTTTCCTATGCTCTATTTAAGAATCCTGTGTTTATTTTTTTCTCTTTGAACTAGAGTAGTGGTTTTAGGGTTATATTTTTAGCTATTCTTATTAAACATTATTTTTGTAAACTTAGACGGTCTCTGGCACCTCTCTGTTACTGCTCTCTTCTACTTTTCTGAACAAAACCCAGCCTTCATTTCTACTCATGATTTCAGCTACCATTGTCCTATTTCTTCTTTCTTCAATGTGGTTTCTTCTGTCAAAGTTTTCTTGCATTTACCCTCTTTGCCTTAGGCTTGACCTATTTTCCAGGTACCATGAAAGCCTTTTTTTTTCATGTAGATATCTTGACACCTATAATAACTACAGCTGCTGTTTGTTAAAAAAAAAAGAGCACATGTGTCAGGTTGTGTGCCTTGCCTTTGACCGATAATAATAATTTTCAACATTAATCAATGTTTCCCATGGGCCTAGTGCCATTCTAAACATTACCATTTTATGTATAACATTTAATTCTCACAACCAACTAACCAATAGAAAATATTATTGTCCCATTATACAATGAATGAAACTTGGCCAAGAGAAATGAAGTAACTTACCCAAAATGACACAGGGGAAGGTTCATCATTTTTGTTATTCAAGCTGACATCTGTTTTACTATAAGCTTTGTATTTTACACTTAATACCTACACATCTTCTCAAATCTAGTAAAAATATGGACTTAGGTTTTCCCCATTACCATCTTGTTAAGCTTCTATAATTTTTGTTCTTATTAATAACAACATGAAAATATTGTTAACGTTAAACACCGGGTGACTCTGTCTCAAACACATTTCATTCGATGCTGTATCCTGTCAGTACTGTCTCCTAGTTCTCATTTTTGTTGCTAGCTCTGAGTGAGCACAGTTACTTCTAAATCCATCTTTTCCTACTTACTGCAATGAACTCTCTCAAATTGTCTTCTTGCCCCTATTAGCCACCCTTTGTAAGTTGCCCTAAACTCTCTAATAATGTTTTAAACATATTATAGAAGCATAAGATTAATTTTTTTAACTTTTCAGTTTCTCTGCTTCTCATACTCCTTTGTAAGACCAATACAACATTTCCTTCCTATTATCTCAAACTCAATAGCCTACTGTTAGCCCTTCTGCTAGTTACAGTAAATTAGTCCCTGGATATACATGGGGTAGTGGTTCCAGGACCTCCCACATTTACCAACATCCACACATGCTCAAGTCCCTCAGTCATCCCTGTGAGAACCCACATATTTGAGGAGTTGGCCCTCAGCATATGTAAATTTTTCATCTGGTGAACACATTTTCAGTCTGTGTTTGGTTAAAAAAAAATTCACATATAAGTTGACCTGCACAGTTCAGACCAGTGTTCAAGGGCCAACTGTATATATTTACCTAAATAAAGCATCCTATTTAATGGTTCCAGGCACTTGTTTTTGTTTTTGTTGTTGTTTGTTTTCAGACAAGGTCTTACTCTGTGGCCCAAGCTGGAGTGCAGTGGGACCACAGCTCACTTCAGCCTCTACCTCTGGGGCTCAAGCTGTCCTCCCACGTCAGACACCCAAAGTGCTAGGATTACAGGTATGAGCCACCAAACCAGCCAAAGTTCCATTTATAATTGATCATTTTCACCTTTTTTTCATTGTATATTTATGTCAACCATTGTGTATCGCTATGTCTTTACATGTGTGTGTAGTCTTATATGTACATGAATATGTGCTTATGTACACACAAGCACATATATATGCTATATACGCATATACACATACTTTGATATAGAACTTAAGAGAATGTATTGCAATTATTTGTTAATGCATTTTCTACTCGAATGTAAGGTTCTCTATTTGTGGGGTAGAATTATACACTTTATTGTGCAAAGCAAAGGAAAAGAAAAACTTTAGAGTGATTCTCAGGATTTGAAGTATGGCTAATCAGTTGTCATTGCAATTATTTAAGACTGTGAAACCAGTAAGGTAAACTAATATGTATGGATTTTACATTGATTTATATTTCGTTTTGTTCTGATATATTGTTAAAGTTTACTACAACCTATTAATGGAAATATTATTTTCTAAAAGTAGGGTACAAAATACGTTGTATACTTGATGAAAACTATATCATAAGGAACACTTAAAAAGAAAAATGACTAAGATTACATTTTAGAAAGTTTCTATATGTGAGCAGGGCACGGTGGCTCACGCCTCTAATTCTGGCACTTTGGGAGGCTGAGGCAGGTGGTTCACCTGAGGTCAGGAGGTCAAGACCAGCCTGGCCAACATGGTGAAACCCCGTCTCTACTAAAATACAAAACTTAGCTGGACCTAGTGGCAGGTGCCTGTAATCCCAGCTACTCAGGAGGCCGAAATGGGAGAACTGCTTGAACCAGGGGACAGTGGTTGCAGTGAGCAGAGATCATGCCACTGTACTCCAGCCTGGGTGGCTGAGCGAGACTCCATCTCAAAAAAAAAAAAAAAAAAAAAAAAGTTCCTATAAGTGAATGAGCTATTTGCTCATGTGGTTGAATTGCCTATGTAATATTAGCTTAAATTATAGAAAATTACTTAAACCACTGGTAACAGATAAATAAAATAAAAATTAGACAAAGAGCAAACATTTGTTTAAATGTTACTGTGTACACCATTTATAGATGTATTATTCTGAAAAAATATTCAACCATTTAAAATACATATGTTGGTATGGTTGCTATGATGGCCATAGCATTATTTTATATTTATTGCGATTCAAGGTACACAACCTAAATTTTCATAATTTACATCATTTCTTAAACTTTACAAATTCACAAATTAAAAAATATAAAAGAGTTGCAACTTATAAGCATGTTTAAATAATGACTTTTCTATTGAAAATCTCCTTTTAATATTATTTTCGATTCATTTTTTATAATAGATTGCATAATTCAAAGAAACTGAAGGATAATATTAATATACTTAATTATTAAACTTTAGTTTTTCCTACAAAAGGCAGACTGAACTGTGAATTTCATAAAGCTATGGTTATGCATATTAATATATACTGAGTAACATTTTTACTAGGAATGTTAGCAAAATAGTTAGGCAGGGTATGTTATACCAGTTGGTACTGATGAGAACAGTGGAGGCACAAAAATGTCAACTAGCTAACCCTCAATCATAAAGCCAAAACTAGGGTAAGAAGGGATCTGAATCTTGATATTCTGCAAAAAAATCAAATATCTCATGACTGATAAGTATTATTTCTCATTTGACTCAATTTTCAACATTTAGGAATACAATTAAAATACTAATATTATATATCTTACTCCAAAAAGAGATTAGGTATTTTATTTAGTGTAATCAAAGTATAGTGATCATCAATGCAGTTTAGTTGTATGTTTATGCCATTCACTTACTTGTTATAGCCACATGCAACTTAATAGCATTAATGGATTTTCACTGTATCTCTTCTAAACTCGATGTCATTGGATACATTATAACATGCTTTATATTTTTAGGC